ATCGATAGCTCGTCGAAGACAGATTTCATACTGAGGCGAAGCCATGTATAGGTGGTACTCTCAATGTGCCATACTTCGAAAAAGTCATTTACGGACAGTGGAATGGAATTGTTGATATAAAAAACATGAAAGAGGAAAATAAATACACTTTAAATATGATAAGCAAACCATGGTAGAAGCTGATAACACACCATGGTTAGATAATGAACGATTTTTTTTCAACACATGAGGTTTTCAAGAATATGAGAACATACACAGAAAAACAAAGCGGATAGGTAGAAGTTAGAGAGACAGTGAAAATATGTGAGTGAACCGAGCAATAGGATGGCAACCTCAAGAAACCGATACGCCGTGAGTTTTGACAGAGCTCGCGAACCGTACGATCGTACTCGAGTGACAATCGGTTTGGTGATCCTGACACCCGAAAATAACCTCGGTCATGAAAGGTTTGATTATGCTATAAATATATGAACTATCGCACACCTACAAGAAAAAATCCATGCCAGATCTCTAATAAAAGGTCTCGAAAATTTTACACAACGCACAAAATTCCAACTGAATTTTTCATTTAATTTTTTTTTCAGTTTCATAACTTCTAATAATCCTTAACAGGAAAACGATGGGTAATCTCCTCTAGTATTATTACTACCATGTCGCGCAAGATCCGAGACCATCCTCGAGAAAGAACATAACTCTGTCCTCTTATTTTTGAAAGCGCATTGTGTAATTAAAAATACTCGATGGACTACTTACTATATATCAATTGCAGTTAAACCCACATATTCATGCATGGACCAAAAAATAAGGGTCCACGAAAAAAAACAACAGCATTCCAGAGAATCAAATATCGAGTAGTGCAAAAATTGTAAAGGAAGGAATGAAATTTATCACCCAAAATAATTCCTCTTTGCTAGTTAGAAACGAACCTATTGCAGCATTTAAACAATAGATAAGACGATAAAAATAGTATCTAGATTCAAAACCATTCAAAAACACATTTTCGCTACGAAAACAACTGGATTTTCTTAATTTAATAGAAGTGATTATTCAACCATGTCAATGAAGTAAACCTGATCCATGGTTCACAGACTCATCAGCGGGAGTAGATGTGCACCACCTACAAAGGTGGCCCAGTCGAGGTCGTTAATCACATCCTTCCCCTTTCATAATCGAAGTCATCCTAGTACCCAACCTTAATTGGGAAATCTCTTACCTCAACATCCCAGGATTGAAACGGTCCAATAATAAAAGAAAAAAGCATAATCGAGTCAGTAAAATAGAAGTATCGATTAGTATTTAACAGATTGATTTTACTGGTTATGATATCTCCACTGAGTAGCAATGAAATCCTGAATGGTAAAACAAGTGAACAACTAGGGCTTGTAACACTCAGCAACTTGACGTACCGACTAACAGCTCTTCTCGAGCACGTCACATCATTATCAGTCAATATTGTGTCTTTGCTAGGAAGCAGAAAAACTGTAAGTTACGCATGTCAACTTAGTGAAGAACTCTTTGTTATCGGTTGAGAAAGTTTCATGAGGAAATGGCGACAATTACGGTTTGTTTCGATATTCACTTGTCGTATACCTAATACGACACCGTTATTCCGCCCACCCTTTAAGACTCTTATTAGAAGAAGGTTCATTAAGGCGACACAATGCTTTTGTTTGTTATAACGGATAATAAAGCCTCCGTTGGTTTGGGAAGTGCACGTCTCTTCATCAATGATCTCTAGCAAGAATCCTTTCATAGGAACAATCATCTTCACCTTAAGAAGAAAATACCATTGAAGAATAGACTACGTTTAGATGGCACATAATGACAAACAGAAAGGAAGAAAAAGTGAATGAGTACTAATGGGAGAAACCGAGAGTTCTTTAAAAACAACTGATGGAATATGTAGCGAATTCAGACAGCAATTTCAATGAGGAGAACATGTCTCATGTGCGACAATGCTTCATAGATATGCATACAGGTTTGGAAATGGAATTCCACAGGAGACTGAAAGAAGCCTTGTTTGGGTGTCTCAAAAAACTCACCAATCTATCGATTACATATTCTTGCACTCGTTTGTTCACCTCGATAAATTTTTAGCAACAGTTGAGAACTGAGTGGATACTCTCAAACTTATCACCATGCACACTACCTAAGAAGCTACAAAAATCAAGAATGACAATGCAAGGTGCAACAAAGTCATGTAAAGTCGAGCAGAAGATATCTAAAATAGTGTTCATCAGGCGATATATAAATAGTTCTATCATTTGTTATATCATCTATTAAAAGCTGACCCGAGTAAGCAGTCCACTCAATGGACAGCTGAGCAACACTTTGTATCAAGGGACATATTTCTAGTGTTTCTTTTTTGTGAAAGCATGTACATAGAAGCGACAAATCAATTCCGTGTAACAACGATAGGCAGCGAAAACTTGAAACGCCGGCGGTTCAACGCAGCTATATGGTCGTTACTGATTTGCCTTTAACCATAATTGAAGAGAGTTTCGTGACCAATCCGATTGATGTTCCTCATATTGAAGAGCTTAATGGGCAGATATTAAAAAAAATAATGAAGCTCATGGGGTTGATCAATCCGTGAGGGACGCGCCATGCATTCGACTTCACTAAGTATCGTTGGAGTTAAATGAATGCATATCTGGCTTTTACAACGACTGGCTGTGGCCTACCGATGTATCGAGCTAGTGTTGCTATCCTCGCAGACAAATCCGGTACCAACTTGCCGATTCCGGAGTGATGGAAGACTTGGTGAACCTTGGGCACGCGATTGATCCTGTGTTTGGTGCAGGGTGCCTCCGACAATTGAGCTACATTCGCCCTTTATTCAATCATACAGGGCTGGCCAGACATTATATTACCAAAAATCATACACCAAAACTCTAGCATAAAGAACTGGGAAAAGAAATAAAACAAAGCAATCTGAAGAACTTCCGCATAAATCAGATAGACGAATATCTTACAAGAAAATTAGCCTCCACAAAGTTTTCTGCTTCTGTTCTCACATTTCGAAATATACATATACATAATAAGCCGCCGATTAAAGTTGCTATTTGATCAAAAACAACACTCCCTCAAGACAAGGGACGACGAGTACGATTTAGCGTACTCGTTGCATTAACGAGAAAGCTACGAACTCCAATTACAGCAGTGATTCACTTAATCAACAAAGAAAGGGATTTCAGAGTCCAAAGACTAAAAACTATCTTTGTTCTAAGATATTTGCAAAACTTCGGACCGCAGGTGTATGGTGAGGAACGAACGCGCATTATTGTCCCTTCCGGGGAGTAGCGCACTTCACCACCACACCATTCGGGTCCTTCGTTTTGCGTGTCTCTCAACTAGTTCTAAGCCTCAGCTTAACTGGGTTCAATGCCGATATTGGCTCCAGTTAAGCTGAGGCTTAGAACTAGCTGAGAGACACGCAAAGCGAAGGACCCGAATGGTGTGGTGGTGAAGTGCGCTACTCACCGGAAAGGACAATAGCGCGCGTTCGTTCCCCACCGCATAAACCTGCGGTCCGGAGTTTTGCAAATATCTCAGCATTATAAACGAGTTATATTTCGCAACATACCCTGCCATTAAAAAGAAAAAGGCAGTAAATAAAAAGGGTTAAGATTATCTTTATTCTAATTTCCTTACCTACTTAGTAGTAAACAGTGACTGACAACACTCCACTCACTATCGCAACATCATTACGTCTCTGAATTGAGAGTGAAGCAACGTTGTATCCTTTGCGTTCAGCATGACCTGCTTATATCAAAATCACTTCATAACACCAGTTTGCCATACTACAGTGTGGACGGAAATCCAAGGATATTAATATTTCTACTGTTTAAGTGAGTAAAAAACTTATATATGGGCCTTCTTAACCCTTGAGTAGCTGATACTAACAAGCACAATTTATGTGATTCAACACCAAATTTATATCTACACGAAGAGAAATGTCGCAATTTCGAACAGATAAACCCTAAACAGACTCAGAATACCGTACGACAACTGCATGAGTGCATTAGTTCTTCTGCTCCCTATGATATTCCAAATTAAAGCACGTTTCTGTTTCCATAAACACGGACGTACTAAACACTCACGCTCACCAAGGAGACGACAGTATCGTAACTCTGACAATACAGTCAAACTCATGGCAATGGTCACTCATAGTGCGAATAAGAACTGCGCTACATTATGAAGGGAATGAAGAAATATAGACTAGTCAGGTGAGTCGCAGCGACTACGTTATGGCTTTAATCCGTTCAGAAAACTGATAAGTTGTACGCTATTATACAGTGGAGGAACTCATTAAGATAATGACATATACTTGTAAATATTCGAAATACAGCATGTTAATGAACACCAAAACCGTGTCTTTCAATAGTTCCTTTCGAATAAAAATTCAATCACAGCGCAGTCCAGTTGTATAATACATGATTACTCACTACTTAATGACATCGCCAAAATAAGTAGTTAAAACAGAATAACAACATCAAAAATTTCAAACCAACTCTAGAATCCACCATGAAAATAGCATCCACATCAGTTCACCTAGCATTCAGCCACACTGTTACAAAATGAAAAATACAAGAAATAAGCAATAAAGGCATGCCGAACACATATAAAGTACTGTGAGTCAGCGTGAAGCAGCGACAGCACTACCCGTTTTGTATTCACCATGTGAGGAGAATAAGACGAAATGAATGTTAACAAACAAAAGAAAAACCCCAGATATCACTAAAAATGCACGGGCACTGCTGATGATAAGATGTACAAAAGGATATATAGGGAGAAGTGTGGCGTGTTGGAATTCGAATGAAACGGACGATATGACAGACGATCCCTTGTATATAACTGTACGCGCAAGGGATCGCGAGCAGCGTTTACAAAACAACAGAGCACCATAGATTAACTTGTATTACTCTATCTCATATTATGAAATTTTAGTAAAACTCATAACTCAATAACCAATAGACATAAAGTCACTATGACGTTGTCTACGAACTTGCAGCTATGCTTTTCTTTGCGGCAACGATGAGGTAGTACAATGATGCTAGTGGCTTAGCACATCGGAGAAACGGATGAGTTAGTAATTGACTTGCTGACCAACGATTGTCAACTACAACTTCCAATGCGCAGTCGATAAAGTCCTATAAAACAGAAAGTGTAGTGAGAACGTTGGATTACATTCAGGGATGTACGCCGGTAATGCTAACTTTTTATTTGCTGCCTATTACAATTTTCTACGGCAGGTTATTATGTGAAATAAAGCCACAATATTTGCTGAGATATCTACAAAACTCTGGACCGTAGGTTTAAGTGATGGAGAACGAACGCGCTATTACCCTTTCCGGGGGTTAACGAGTTCACTGCCATACCATGCAGGTTCTTCGTTTCGCCTGTATTTTAACTGGTTTTGAAAATATCTCAGCACCAATATGTACGCGTATATTTGAAAACCTTTTAAAAATCAAGAGGTGCTCTAGAGTAACAATAAATTCCAGACTACGATTAGAAGAGTAGAATGGCGCACTTACATACGAGTACAAATAACAGCGATACCAGTTATATGGCACAACTATCACCTCAGTATTGTTGATGTGAATCCTTTCTTTTTCTCCTTCTACAGAGTACATTGTAAAGAAACAGAGACAAAATTTCTTCATTACACCAAACATTTTTAAGGAAACAAATCAAAAAAGGTCCAATACTTTCGAAAAATTTTTCATCGTCAACAATTTGTACTAAAATACATTGTCGCCCTATCTAAGGACAAATATAAAGTCATATAAAATCGTCATGTACCTTAAACGATGCGGATAATTGGTCTCTTCCTGGGAAGTCGGGCTTTCCATTTGTTGCGATGAGGTAAATAGCCTGCAACATATAAATACTTGCACCAAACAACAATACTTATGAGTGACAATAAAATCCTGTAAAAGAAAGGAAACTGGTTTTGAAATACATGCGGAAAAGAACCACAAATTTGGAACTGGCTAAAGCCTTCTCTTTAACATACCCTTAACGGATTCTCGTTAAGATACGGAGGCTCTCCTTCAACCATTTCGATGGCCATAATTCCAAGTGACCAAACATCTACTTTTGGACCATACTGCTTTCTAGTAACTACTTCAGGAGACATCTAGAAAAACAAAGAGCGTAAATCGATCTATGATCAGTTGCCGACGCAAACTATTTCCCGACTTACCCAATACGGTGTTCCAACCATTGTTGTTCGTTTGTTCTGCTCAGGAGATATTTGAGCGCAAAATCCAAAATCAGCTGGAAATGTTTTTGAAATAATTAACAGTACGGCGCAAAATTAACCGCGTTCAAAAAACATTAAAAATGGCCATAAAATTTAAATAACGAAGTCTACGGCGACATGAGCAGCACAAAATTAAAAGGCTAATTCATATTATTAAATTAAATGGACAAAAAGCTCTGTGTTGACTAATCCTTGAGGAATGTGCAATGCACTTGCCTTCATTAAGCGTCGTTTGGAGCTGACTGAATGCGTAACTGGTCTATACTATAACCCTCAGTGGTCTACTGATGTATTATCGAGCCAGTGCTGCTACCCTTCCAGACAAATTTGGTACCAATTTGCCTACTCCGGAGGGATGAAAGGTTTGTTAGGCCAGGGGCGTAGAAATCGATCCTCTGTCTATTGCAGGGCGCGTCCGACCACTGCGCCACCCGCGCAAACATAATATTGAATCAGCGTGAAAAAATGATCGTAAGTGATAAGATTGTAGGAGAAAATAGTTTAGTACTTAGTTTTACAGATCCATCCATTCCTAGCAAAATGTTATCCGACTTAATATCTCTATGAATCACATGTCGGCTATGCAAAAACTCCAAGGCTTGAAGAACCTAAAATAGACAAATATGCTTAATGCGGAAAAGACACAACATTGAAGGACAGAAACAACAAGCTGTCTCATCAAGGAAGACAGAAAAAGAAGACTAACCTCTCTGCATACAGCAGCTATCATACCTTCCTCCATCTGACATTCCGTCACGACATCCGTAAGAGAACCTCCAGCTAAATACTCCATAACGACCTAAAACATCACAAAATACGGATTATACAGTGGAAGAGGCGGATGGTCGCATATGAAAAGGAAAAAATAAACGGAATCTACCATGAATTACCCACCCATAGTTCATCTCCAACGAGGTAGGAATCGAGATAATTAACAATATTTGCATGTTTATTTTCGCGCATTACAAGAATTTCGTTTATAATAAGTTCTTTTTTTGGTTGATCCTTAAGATTCATTTGCTTGATAGCAACTTCAGCACCAGTACTCATCTCCATAGCAGTGTATACAGATCCCGATGCTCTGAAAAAAAAAGCACCTCACCTACAATTGATTATCGCACGTCTTATTCGAAAGTTTATCGTATTTCGCTCTAAAATTCCTTGAAAAACTTTTAAACAACGCAGTGCAAAGATAGTTACTTATTTCCAAATGCAGTCATTCATTTGCGAGCTACGTATAGTCTTGGATGGCTCATCCTCAGTGGTTGTGCAGGCCCCAACACAATCTCCATCATTTCGGAGCTTTGTTGGTCTAGCCATTGTGGTTCCCTGGACTCCCGAGGTCAGCTTGACCAAAGTCTGCCCCAGGTCATCATCACCACAGAAAGGCGCCGCTCTTGTGGATCAAAAGGAGATTTATCACCACGCGACAAATTAGACATCAGGAAGGTGGTGGATCCTGGTATTGGTTTACTCTTAGTTGAACTTCCTAATGGAAACGCCGGACTCTTTCTCAGCTAGAAAGACCCTACCGAGGAAACGAATCCCGCTGCTGTACATCGCAACACGACAAAGGAGCACTTCCCAGCCACGATGAGGCTGGAAACCGTTCGGAGGCCATATCTACGTATATATATATATATAT